CTTGCTCGATTTTGGCACAAACATGCACCAGCGTTTGTGCCAGCGCGTACGTTGACAAATACCGTCGGCTGGCCGCTCAGATCTTGGAACGCAGTCCGACGATGCAGATCGCCTTTTCTTCCGTCCTTCCGAGGCGGGAGAACAGGTTTTCTTCGTTGGAGTGTCAGAGTGCCGAGATCCAGGCGTTGAATGATCGGCACAGAGACATGAACTGGATCCTGCAGGAGTTCTTGCGCAAGAAGGAGTTTGTGTTCTTCGGTGATCTCGTGGACTAGTGGCATCTGTGCATCGGCTACTGTTTTATTTGTCATGGAATAAACTGTTTCTAGAATCTTTTACCCAGTTTTCTCGATTGAATGCTCTCAGTGTGTTTGTTATTACTGGGACTAATTCATGTTTTCCCTTCTCTCACAATGTTCGTGAGATTGTGAGCGTGCGCGCAAGTCGCCAACGTACGGAGCGGTGGGCTCGCACTTGTCCCCTCCGATGCACATAAGCTCACGCTGAAACGCCTCGAACCAAGCCAACCACACACGACGAAGCCTCACCAGCCTCACCGCCTCGCCTCGGCAGCGATGCATACATGAGTTAAAGGGACACTGACAGGGTATTTATGCTCGCCGAGGTTTTTAGTTGTACGTGACATATGAGAGCTCAACTACCCAGAACAGAATTTGCGGCTCGAAATTCGGTTTCTTTCCGCCCGAAAACCGCCGATCAAAAACTGGCCGGTTCGAGTCTCGCTCACTCTCTTTTCCGCGGTCACTGGCCGTTTTCTAAGGTATCGATGCGACCACCAAATTTAATCAAAGTCGTGGGTCACTGAAGGCACACACTCAATATTAAAAATAGAAAAAAATATGAAACCCAGCTTTTGTGGCTTCTAAAAAGCTGCAAATACGTTGATTGAAAAAAAAAAAAAAAAGTTCCACAGACAACCGGAAGCATTCTGTGCGCTCGTCGTTTCGCGTATCGTGGGACTCGCGGGGACGGCGATGGCAGCGGACGACGGGCGTGGGACCTCTATTTCAGAACTGTCGTTCGCGGTACCGGCGAATTCTGTCTACCTTTAAAAGATAAATTTGGGACTGATCAAAAGAATTGGTATTCATCCCGTACGACACGCCCGACCACCAAGCCGATTTGCACGAAGACGTCGCCGAGCCGTCGCTCCCTTCTCGTGGCTGAAGACATCGCTCGCGCAAACGTCAAGCACGACGTGTCTACTTCGAGTTGAATATGCACGCGTACGATTTCTTTACTAGGTGAGAATGTCGCCAATGCGTGGTGCTTCCCGACTTCGAACCGGGAGTGCTTTTGCTAGGGGAAAATCGGCAGTAAACCTTCAAACTTACAGTTTACCGGCTGAATTATTACTGAGGAAAGAGATCCACCAGTAAAGAGATGCCCCAGTAGCTCAGTGAGAAGAAAAAAGAAAAGCCCCACTAGCTCAATGGGAAAGACGTCCGCTTCACACGCGGTATGACCGGGTTCGGTCCCCTGTGAAACCTTTTTTTTTTTTTTTCAAACATTTTCCGATTTTACATATCTTTTTTTTAACAATTCTCACTGAAGAAACAAACATAAAATAACAAACAAATGTTGTGGACGACACTTCGCTGAATTAAAATGTATGGGATTTCCTTATTGACACCTGCGAGCTCAATGTAATCACTTTCCACAAAATGCCTGGAGCATATAAATGAGGTAGCGTCCGTTTTCCGAGGTGCCCGTATATGTTCTACAGGAATTGCAGCCAGCCATTGGTCCCGATCCCGTTGATCTTTCGGAAACTCTGTCGCACAATGCCCCTTTTTTTTTTCGGACGCAGGACATGTGAGCCAGCTCTTCACGCAACATCTTGGGTGTATTCTTTTCGGAGCCGATCATGGAAATTCACCACGGGCACTCACGACTCATCTCCAACTCCTCAATGTACAAAACAACTCATCTTGGAGTACAGAACAACGAGCGGAACAAACATAACTGCAAAAGAATCGCACGGCGAACAGTTCCCGTACGCCGCATGTCGTGTCGTCTGCTACGGAGAGGAGAAAAAAAAAACAAAAAAAAAAAAACGCACGGTCGGGTGTAGCCACGTGACTTCCGCCATTCACTCTCTTCTCTCCACTTCTCCGACCTCCGTCGGGTTTCGGTTCCGGTTTCGAGCAGTTGCGTCTTTTGGCTTTATTAAAAAAATATCCTACTCTGTTGCAAAATAATAATTGGGTAGTCCTCCGACACCATAATAAAGCGCCTGGCAAAAAAATGTGTGCGTGTGCTTGCGGGCGCCCGCACGCACACGCACGGATGTCACGCACGCACGCCGCCCACACGTGTGTGTGACTCCTGGACAACATAACTATAAAGATATCTACTGATACTATATTTATGACGCATGATATTTGCAATTAGTCTTAGAGACTTTTTTTAATTGATAAATTGTCTAAGAATTTGAAAAGGTCACGTGACATATTAACTTTAAAAACAACAATAAAATGTAACTTTTGTTTTTATATCCTATATTTACTGATAAGAAAGCATAATATGTACGTAAAAACAAATTATGTCCTTATATTATAAGTCACGTGACCTTTTGCGTGAATGGAGCCTTATCTCCTCCCGACTTGGCTACGTCCCCGCGCGTGGATGTAGCCTCTGCCTAAGAACTTACGCCCGGACGCAGGGGATACTACGATATATCTTAGCCAATCCCGTTCTGTGCACGTGGCCCGTGATACTGTTTCCGCGCGTCGCTGTGCCCCCTTTCTAAGGTCACGTGACACTCACATGGCCTCCGATTGGCTCCGATGGCTCGTAACATCCGCTGCATGCGCTTAAACGTAAGATGAAACGGAGTATAGCAAAAAAAACAAAAACAAAAAAAACTGATTTCATTGTTGCTGCAGCACCGCGATGAATAGGCCACGCATAGTTAGGACTCCCAAGGAATACTACTATGGTGCCTGAAACGCGTCTCCGACAGGTGTGTTTAGCGTCCTATCCATGGTCCTATCCCGCCCATACATCAAAAGTGGTCCCGAAGTGGCAACAAATGACGTCACAGAAGCCGGAGTGTCATGCTGTAGCCTGTCGCGACCCTGGCGGCTGGTCGTAATGCTGGCGAAAAGCACGAGCGGACGTGAGTGTCGCTGTCGTCACAGCGTCCGAACTTCCAGCTGCTGAAGCTTACGTTAAAGTACAGTGGCTAGTTAAAGTGAACCTCTTCTAGTTCACTTTACTTACGTGGACTGTCACAATGGAGAGCGACCTGCAGCAGAAGAGGCGTCCGCAATATCCGCCACAGCTACTGGGACACCGTCATGGTCGCGATCGGCGACAGTATGACACTTCTATGACGTCATCAGGCGGAAATCGAGAGACCGCTTTTTTGGACGCGGTAAACACACCAGTAGGAGACGCGTTCTAGGCACCATAGTACTACTGGGTGACCGAAGGAGCGGCCAGGCTCTTTAAATCGACCGCAAAATTCGATTTCTTAACCTATCGCGCTACAAATTTGTGCAGCGTTGCCCACAGATGGTGCTTTTTTTTGTAAACTTTGCAAAGAGCAAACTTACCTGAGGAAAAAGTAAAGAAAGAGAAAAGGATTAGCTCCTATGGAAACGCGGCGAAGCCACCGGTCTTCAAACCATACGGCGCCGCTTCGCACGGGAGACAAGAGATGGTGCAAGCTGTCGCGATGCCAACTGCCGCCAACGAACGAGCATATGGCGCCGAGAGCCGGCGTCTTTAGCAGACGATCGTTTCGACTCAAAAGCGGCGCGAGCTTTTCTGATATCAGTTGCCAATGCATTATTTTATCATCCTTACTAATAAAACATATTGAATGGGCAGACAATCGATTAGAAATAAACTGCAACAAGCAGTTAATTTCTGCGCTAAAAAACAAAACAAAAAAAACCTGTAAAAAGTTTTTGGGGACACCCTGCATGCACATGCTTTAGATTGTGGAGGGCAACCTGGGCAGCAAGGCACAATAAGTCATGTGCTTAGTGCATCTGCTACCTTAGGTCTGCTGTACAGCATTTCATAATTCATAATGTAGGTGTAACACAAAATTTCCCTGCTAAATTTAGCGTGAAAATTGAATTGGTGTATTATGACCACCTGACCAAAGCACGTGGATTCAGGCGCCAAATTTCAAGGACTTACGTCCCATTAAATCTAGCAGACGGTTTATGGGACGTCTCCAGCATGACACCATCACGTGACAATTGACGTCAAGATGTACGGTGCCATGTGATGCAGTCATGCGACACCATGACTATGGTGTCACGCTAACCCAGCAGAGCTCAAAAACACTGCACGTTGCCAAATTTTATCCGTAGGAATATACCTTTTTTTCTTTTTTTTTTCATGTATGTGTTCTGCTGATTGGTGCTCATATGCATGCTCCTGAAGAACATAACTGCTCATTGATAGGGTTTCTCATTCAAGCACTGTTTGGCATCAAAATACACAAAATATTTCTCTACATTTTGACTGTGGACTTCTGAAGAAATTCCACACCAAAGTTTTATTGAACTAACAAAACATGCTCATTAGTTTTTGTATCAAAATACCTAAAATTTCAGCTTTTTCCCAGAAAGGCGTTCCTCCTAAATAGGGCCTTTGGGGGTGACTAATACGGCATCACACATTTTCTTTTTCTTTCTGTGTGATATGTAGTTTTCACAGGGAACTTTTGGCCAGCGTTCCATCAACACCCTTAATATCTCTAAAATGCTGACGGAAAATGGCAGATCATTATAAAGGGTACACTTACCAAAAATTTACCATGTTTGAGGTCCAGGAGTAGGCAGTTGAAGTGATTGAAGTTTTCTATGTGGTTGCATTTGAATTTGTGAGCATCAAAGGTGGAAATTCAATTACTTGGACATAGAAATGTATAAAAATAAGGATTGCCAGCAAGGCACCTAAATCCAAATCTTCAGTTCTAAAGCATCAGCAATACAAAATGCAGAAAGGTCTTTTTGTGGCTGTCTCATATATACAATTGATTTATTACAGCAGAAAAGTATCCAATACAAAAGGTTTGAAGAAAAACTCTGCTTCAGTTCACCCGGTTTCCATTGGAAGAGAGAACAGTCTTTTTATATAATTTCGATTAGTAAAACCGAAGTCGTCCACCAGATGTAAGAACACGCTGCAGAATGAGTGACACATGGCATATTCCAGTTGTTTTCACAACACATGCCCATGCTCAGACATAAATCTGAAAAAATAATTCTAGAAGTCGGATTCGAAGTCAACGTACAAAGCCCACACTTATGGATTTCCTCAGGTCATATTGAAATCTGTACACGGAAGAAAGCTATGACTGCTGGAAGTCCACCAGGTGTGACACCCACGCGAAAATTCGCTAAGTCCAAAGCGTATAAAAAAGGAAACCTACGAGACTTTTCCTAAGCCTAAAATGATGCTTATATTTCTAGAATTTGAAAGAAGGGTAGAATAATTATGGAAAGAGAGAAATAGGGGGAATTTATATGCATCTATCTCTTTTTAAGTAAAAATTGGCTAATGAAAGAGTGGAGTGTACACTCCTGATTGCCGACGAAACATGGGCAATGACATTCATACCGTAACAGCTGCACTATGAAAACATACTCCATGGCATGAGACTCCTTCCCTCAGCTCTGAGACTTTCAGAGCAGCTCAAATTTATACTTGCAGATGACCAGCTTTTCACAGGGCTGAATAGGGAAATATTTGTTAACCTAGCTACACGTAACACAAAGACTCCCACCCACATCTCCAGTCAACTGAACGTCTCACTGCGTCGTGTCCGCAAGCAACTCGTCAAGTCTTCCTTTTTGCGTCTATTTGGCGGACAGTGGCAACTTGTCACTGGAACTAACTGCCTGGCCCACTGTAATCATCCTCAGAAATGATTGCAGATGTTCCCTTGGCTTAGCAAAGTGCACACATAAGTAAAGTGCATCACACTAGATTGCTTGCCAATTAACAACACTGAGCCAGGCAAGTAAGTTGCAAAGAAAATGCCTACAAAAGAAATCCCTCTCGTAAAAAAAAAGTAGCTACAGCATGTCCTCAGTTGTTCTTCGAGAGCAAAAAAACAAACCATGGTAGACATGCGATACAGTTGCATGGAAGAGTTGCCTAAGTCGCGCATTGCACAGACCAGGCTTTAGTCAGCAGGCTCTTAGCAAACCAGACACTGAGGATCCTGAAAAGGGATGAGTTGCGACGCTCAGGTGGTCGTGGAGACCTTGTTATCGACGCCTTTATATGCACCAATCTATTGAACTTTGTATGAATGTAGTGAGATATGTGAAATGCTGTGCACTGCTCAGCAGCCTGCACAGCAGTTGCTCATACGACTTAGACATCTGCCACCGGTGGGCTTGCTCGGACCAAATGGCATTCAAATCCAGCTTTGAGTCAATTCAGGCTACCCCTCTGCAATAAAAGGGTTTGAAGCGGGGCTGCATGACGTTACTGCCAATCGGTCAGGGGCGACAGGAGAGAAGCGTGCACCAGCACACAGTGCTGGGGAATGCCACTCCACCTCATCTCCAAAGTCACCGGAGTAAAGCTTGTTTCTCTCAACTGCGAGGCTGACTGAAAGTCAGCACAAGTCGACATGTTGCCGTTACTCCACATCGGTCAAATCTAAAAACTTTTCTCACAAATAGGAAGCATTTCCCCTCCCCAAATGCCATTCTTTCTTGACCCCCCAAAATTCATAAACCAAGAATGCATGTTTCCACAGAAAAGCAGTATTGTCATACACAGTCAACCCAATAACGAAGAGAAATTAGGGCCTAAGAAGGAATACAGATCCACCTTTGAGTACGCATCTCAGCACTGCTGCAAAATGGCAGTAAAAGAATGTTGCGCTTTCTTTTCTGTTTTTAAACTCATCAACAAAGTTGTGCTGGAATGTATTCACTAAATAAGCCTTTCAGGATCCAGGACAAAACCATCTAAAAGAAACAGCAAGAGCTCCATGTAAATTGAGGCCGAGTACCTTTTCATAATTTTGGCCACCGGCAAATATCTCACTACTAGTTTAAGGTTTAACTGTGGTTGATGCTCCCCTTCAATGCAACTGGAATTTCAGGGCTCTTTCCTGCACTGCTCTCGTCCTTTCCCTCAAGTGATTGAATACCCACCAGCCAAGCGAAGCAGCAGCAGCACTAGCAGCAGGATTCTTCTAGTTGAAGAATGTGCAATGAGTCAGGTACAAGGACTTGCCATTCTCCCGAACCGAGTTGCGGCACCTCAGCCACAACAAATTGACTTGAACCCTACTTGAGTGACGGTACCTTTGCTACATAGTAACTACTGGAAACACCAACCACCAACATTTTGAATGGTTTCTATGAGCTCTATGACCTGAAATGGCATCCACTTTGGTGTTGTATCATTGGAACGTCCATACCAAATCAGTTTGACAAACTGCACAGGCTTTCAATGCACAAGACACTCTTTCAAATCAATAATAAAAAAATATGAAAAGAGACGTAACATAACGCCCCACAGTGTAGCATTTGACCCTTCCATCTTTTCCAGGGGCAGTTTCGATCAGAGGAGCTTGAAAATTCCAACATTTCGCTTCGATTTGAGAGTTTTCAGATTAACAGCAGCTTCGCCCCGACCAAAAGCATGACCCCCGATGCATGCGATCCCACACGCTTCGGACGCTTGGCGACGGCTTCGACTGGCCTTATCCGCGCAATCGCGGCACGTTTCCACAACCCTGGCAACGCACTACAAGGACTCGTTGTGATTACTTGGCACTTGGAGGGGTGCAAGTCCCTTGTTGCCGCTTTTGGGCTCCATGTGAACGCAGCTTCGGACTCCCCCAGGACGTCCGTTCCGGGCCACAGCGTCCGCACTCGTGCGCACACACCGCAGTGCAAGGAAGGACTGCCAGCACTTTTACACCGTTGCAGCATCAGAGAATTGTGTCCAAGACGGACATGGACTTTGAAATGTTCTCATCCTGCAGAGGCAAGGAGAAAAAAAAAAGATGTGTCGCTGCACAGACAAACTGCAAGATTATGCAAAGGAAAGCGGGCAAGAGGAGCTTTGTTTCAAGTTTAAGCCGAAGTGGAAACAAGACAGTTTAATGCAGAATACAAACAACTCTGCCCAGATGAAGGCCAAGGTAGGACCCATGTGACATTCTACAGATAATATTAGCTTTACAAGTTACATACTCAATAAACTCTATTTAACCACACATTGTGAATTATCTCGGGGACACCCAATTTTGCGAAAGCGAGAGATTTGTACATTATAATTCATGACGTAAATCTTGAACAACTTATTTCTGTCAGCAAGATTCATGAATATTAGGTCCCCCAAAATGAACTTTTTCGCGATTTGTCGCGACTTTTAGTGCCGCTTCCCCCTTAACAATGTCACAGGTGTGACAAACAAAGTACTACTATGGGCGATGTCGCATTGAATATCATTCTGGCGAGATTATCATTATGCCTGTAGACCGTTCCATTAGGGTCATAGCAGAGAGGGCAAAAAGAGAAAAAAATGCCCTCCCCCTCTCGCCTCTGTAGTCTGCTCCGCCGAGTGGGCAGTACTTAGCATCCGGCTGGCGTACAAACTCTGTTTAAAATCGCGTCATTTTGGGAATTTCAAGCGCAGATGCGCAGATTTTGGTATGCCAGTTATCGTGTATTACTATGCTAGATAAAAAATACTAACAGAGTCCTGTTATCTGTGTGCAAATAAAAAAATATAGGGAAAACTGTGTCAGACTGGCCGGTCTCTTCGGCGAAAAGTGAATTCGGTGGTTGTTCCTTTTTTACTATACAAAGTTCGCACTGGTGTAGGCCTTTAGCGACCATGAGTGGATGTCTGAAATAAAAAATAAAAACGTACTCTCCTGCCGCAATACACGCAGTAGTTGAGGGTAGTACTGCCGGCTGACTCAACTGCTATTTAAGTAACGGAAAAAAGATATGTCAGCTGATCATTTACCGAAGTAGAACAACAGAGAGCTCTAGGCTGATTTTGGAGTAGCCATAACTATTCTAAGAACGCGAACCACTTCACAACGGCAGCCATGAGCGAGAGTTCGATGTTCCGTACAGCCCGCCGATACAGCCCAAATATGGAGAATGGCAACCTCCCGTTTTGTCGTCTGCTAGCGGAGTCGGGCGCGTGCCCTCTCTCTCGTTTTACCCCGTCGAACCCGCTGAATTTCCCGGATGTATGGAGAGGGCGCTGCTGTCGAACAAAATGGTGCCGCCCAGAGAGCGCTAAATGGAATGGTCTGTACATACTGCATGGTTTCTTAAAATTAATTAGGAACTTAATGATGAGCAGACAATCCTAAGAATTCTCAGGACATTATGTTTTTGATGAGCCAACTAGGGTCAAAATTTTTTATCTATTGTAGCTTGGAAACTTTATGAGGACCAAAACTTATGAAACTTAAAAATGCCTTCAGTATATGGCCCTTTACATGGTGTTCGCAGCGTTAAAAAAACTTTCGAATTCATGGCGAAAAACAAATATTCAATCCTGGCAGCTGCAAACTACCAGAAATGTACAAATCAAATAAAATATTTTTGTCTTCAAACCAGGCGTGGATTTATGGGTCAGGCTTGTGGGGGGCAGTGGGCATTTAGCTGAAGGGGGGGTTTCAGAGACATGACGTCACTGACGGTGTGACTTATTCACAAACAATACATTGACCAGATCTATTTTGTTGACCTAATCTTTGCCATTTCACCAAAAACTAAACATTCCTTCCAAAAAAAAGTGGCTGTGGGACACTTTTTAATCAAATAAAGTTGTCCTTGGAGGGGTATAGGACATGTGGTCGACCCCACCTCCCCACCCCACAATCTCTACCCCCCAAATCTGCCCCTGCTTGAAGTTTTAATGTCTCCATGCTTTTACGACAGACGGCAAATAAAGTAGGCAGAGAATACAGAGGCTTGATAATATAAAAGCAGAGTCACCTGGAAAAATTAACCGAAGATAGATAATAAACAATGAATGAATGTACTATTAGGACTAATTAATCAAATATACCTGGAGTGTAGTAGCGACAAGGTACTGCACAACTTAGAAAACAAAGTGTAATTAGTGAGGTGAAATTGCGCCTACAAACACGAGAACAACTGACGTCGGTAGCATCGGTGTCGACAGGGTAGCAGGATCGTTCACTAGCCAGAAGCCAGACTGCCTGGATGCAGCAAGCTACGGATTATTATATACTCTCTCTAGGTTCGGGAACAATTGAGACCAAAACCATAACCTTCGAGATCGCCGGTGCACAAGACTTCTTTCGGCCGGTTCAAATGTTTGGCCGCCCAGCAGAAGGAACATAATACTCTGTTTCTCCAGTACTTTCCCAGGTGGCAGCACTTTCTGCAAGAAGGCACTGCCTGGAGAGGGCAGTCTGCCCCGAGCAGGATCTCTCCTCAGGCAACGAATGCCACAGCACAGTGGCAGTAGTCGAAGACCCTTTTTCTCAATACTGTAATGTTACAAAAATTACTTGACAAAAACAATGTCGAAAAGTTGATACTGTGCGAGGCTGGTACTGAACCAGTAGCCTGATGCTAAAGCAGTTGGTGCTGTGTCGTGAGCCAGTTCCATCCATTATGGTCCCGCCTGAGGAATGAAGCTTTGTGCACCAGCCATCTCGGAGGCCATACCAGATCACACAATAAGAATTAAGCAGAATGTTCGAGTATTGTTAGCGAAGAATAAAAGAAAGTTGGTGCAAGGGATCGAGCCCTGGGCTGGGACCCAGCATAAGAGCGAAGTGTGCTTCTGACTGGACCACTATGCATGCAGCAATATTCAGAACCTTAAAAAAATGTAGCGTCCTCACATTTTTTTTTTATGGCCTTTCTGCGGGTTCTGCAAAAAATGTCCTTGGAAAAACATCCCCGGAAAAAATGTCCCCAAAAAATATGTCTCCGGAAAAAAGGGCCCCAGGCGGAAAGTAGGAAAAAATGTCCCCAAAGGGTTCTCTATCGCTGGGCTTTCCCCAATTCTCACGGCTCTTCGGGCGGTCCTGTCATTGTCCGGTCACAAATGACCACCCACCTAGAGGTAGAAAGGGAGACTGGAAGTCACACAAAGCAACCGAAGTAATGTATTGTGGGGCATTTTGGAAACCGAATATGACTTTGTCGACAGAGTTCATAAGTTTTAGATAGCCGGTCTTATTCGTATCGTGTGGTCAGGTGCATGGTCAGTGGAGTTAATTCACATTGGGGACTTGGAGGCTGCTGTGAAGTGAGCTCTTTTATCATTCTATCAACAAATGAAAGTGCAATGTGCTTTCCAATAAATAATTCATTTACTCGTGTTTATTGGTTTACGATTGCTAACTTGAAGCAAATCTTAGCTTGCCATGAAGTTTTTAAACTTTGTATCAATTCTACTTAACGACTGATATTGATAAATGGTGTACAGTTTCAATAACTGGTATCTATAACAGTATGATATATATTTCCAGAATGGAGACCTTCAAGTCCAACAAGGGAGGAACAAAGTTGCGTGTGGATGGGTACATATACACAAAACAGAAAGACCTGGCATCAAGCGTTCGCTGGCACTGTGTCAAGCGCGGCATTCACTGCAAAGGAGCCTTGATTGTCGACAGGGCAACAGGAGCCTACAAGCAGACTGTTTGTCATAACCACCCCCCAGATGACGCTGCGATTAGTGTGGCCAAAACCAGGATCAAGATGAAAGAGGTCGGCCTTGCTTCAAAAGAAAAACCTGCCGCCATTGTCGCCCAAGCCGTGAGGGACCTGAGTGAAGATGGAAAGTGCCTCATGAAGAGTGAGCAGAGCCTGAAGCACTGCATTTGCCAACAGCGGGGTTCGGCGCACACAGCAAATCCTGTTAGCCTCAGGGACCTGGTTGTTGAGCCACCCTCGACGATGACTGCGGACAATCAACCAGACCGTTTCCTCTGCTACGACAATGGACCTGAGACTGAAGCCTGATCGATTGCTCGTGTTCGCCAGTAAGCCTTGCCTCAAATTGCTAGCCCAGAGCAGCATATGGTTTATGGACAGGAACTTCAAACTCTCTCTTAAGGGATTCCTGCAGTTCTACTTCATCCTGGTACCTCTAGGAGAGAGCGTTGTCTCTGTTGCTTATGCATTTATGACAATAAGAAAGTCCCAAGAAGCATTAAAAGAGCTTTTCACATCCCTCGTTGAGAATGCGAGTTGGTAGGCCTGACGCCATTATAATGTTCGATTTCGAAAAAGCGACCACGAACGCTGTCAACCAAAGTACCGTACTTACTCGAGTAACAGCCGCACTATTTATGAACAAGGCCCTTGAGTCTACTTTCCCGCAAAGCACATATACAGCCAATCATCGCGTAGCGCATAAATAACATAGCGAATAACTAGATTAAGAACACGAGTCTCCATACAAATGCAACCTTCACAGATGGTATCTTCGCAAGAAGACGTTATCTCTGTCCTGTAAACAGCTGGGATCATGCAGTGGAATCACGGTGATTGGCAAGCCGCGTGATCCGCGGAAAAGTGAACCCTCAGGTTTTCTTCATAAACAGTGCGGCTATTACTCGAGTAAATAAGGTACTCGGGGAAGACGTCACCATCAAGGCCTGCTTGTTCCATCTGTGACAGAGCACCTGGCGAAAAGTTTAAGAACTAGCTCGGACTGGCGAGGCTCAACAGAGAAGACGACAGCTTTCATACTTTCGTTGGGATGCTTGACACCCTCCCCTTCCTGCCGCCCGAAGACGTCGAGAGTGGCATGCATATTTTAAAGGGGATGATGCCAGAAGCCGCAGGAGAACTTCTAGACTATTTAGACACAACCTATGCTACCGGAAGCTATCGGCGCGTAAATCTAGTGAACGGCGTCATCAGCCTGCGAAGATCGCCACCAAGCTATTCTCCCGCCACTTGGAATTTCCATTTGGCCACTGTAGACGGAGGTCACAGGACCAATTCTTTTCTGAAGCAT